CTCAGCCACGGCCCTCTCTCAGTCCACCTTTTACAGTTAGATTGTACTACAATAAATTGAGCGATTTTCGACAGACTTTGACTGAGATCTTTCCCAGCGCTGCCTTCTATTGCCATTCGCTGTAGTTAGCTTATCTTCTCTTTCTTCAGTCTCTTCCGATCTGTCGACTGCAGCAGTTCACGCCAGTTGCCGCAGTGAGGATCACATTGTGCACAATAGTAGTAATTCGGTCGATGCTGAGCACAGAAGAAACCCATTTCGAGTAATGGAGCTAAATAGTGTTGCGATTGGGGATGGAGTTGGAGTGAGTAATGGAGTGCGGAAGTGGGGCTCAAGCTCTATTTGGTTTTATATACATGTGCAAATTTCTCAGTTTGGCTGTTTATATAATTAGTGCATTTTCAAAGCCAATTCGAATATCTATTGCCCTTAATTCGCATTTTCGTCTCGGTTCTGCTGTGATTCTTATCAGTTGCATTGTTTCCTTTCCATGGGCTAAATCGATTTTTAATTGATTTTCGAGGATCGAATGAATAATAATATATATTTAATTTGTAGCAGAGCCCAGTCCAATGGTTGATGAAATCTCCATTGCTGAGTGGCAGTTTGTTGGCCTGTAATTTGTCACATTTTTCAACAAACAATTTATGCTGGTGATTTATTGACTCAGCACCGTCCAGTATTTGTGGATCGTAATTTATGGGTTTATTAACATGAAATGCAGCCTAACAAGCTGTGATCCATCTATTTATTCAATAGTTACTGGTCTTCAGCTCACGCTCAATTAATCAGAATTCCAGCACGAGTGCTAATATTATCTACCTGTTAGCAAGACGGCGGGGCTTGGGCGTTACTTATGAAAACCCACGATCTAGCTAATTCATAATGCTAATCAATTCAATTTATATAAGCATTTTTTTATTTTAATGTTAAACAACAAATGTACTCCCCTTGCTGACAGACTGATGCTGCCGGTAGAGGCGGAGATTATATACTATTTCTAATTACCATAAGTCAATAGAATTTTGATTTAATATACTGTAATTTGAGAGCCAATTTAATAACTGCATACATCAGCGGCAATATCTTAATAAGCTTATATTTATTTGCTTTAGGCGGAAGCAGCCAAGTCAACTGATTTTAACGGCAGGCCAACGCCTGTGGGCGGGGCGCCCACTGAGAGCCCTCCGGCACCACATGCTGAGAAATCGAAGCCCCAGTTGCTGTACGCCATCAATGAGAATCCTGGTAGGTCACAAGACTTGAGCTCCATTTGAAGTCCTCTCTCATCGATTCATTTCAGTGTGGTACCTGAGCATATTTCTCGCTTTCCAACACTATTTGACAATGATTGGAGCGATTGTGTCGATTCCATTTATCCTAACGCCGGCGCTCTGCATGTCCGATGAGGATCCCAACCGTGGCATCATCATATCCACAATGATCTTTGTGACCGGCATTGTGACGTACTTCCAGGCGACTTGGGGCGTCCGCTTGCCCATAGTCCAGGGCGGAACCATATCGTTCCTAGTCCCGACGCTGGCCATTCTCGCACTGCCGCAATGGAAATGCCCGCCTGCAGCTGAGCTGGATGCCATGAATGAGGAGGAGCGCAATGAACTCTGGCAGATACGCATGCGCGAGCTGTCCGGCGCGATTGCGGTGTCGGCCATGGTGCAGGTCATCCTGGGCTATACGGGACTAGTTGGCAAGATCTTAAAGTATGTAACGCCGCTGACGATTGTGCCAACGGTTTCGCTGGTGGGTCTAACGCTCTTCGAGCACGCTGCGGAAACGGCCTCCAAGCACTGGGGCATTGCAGTGGGGTGAGTCTCAGATGGCATCCCCATGCCTGAACTCAGTGAACAACTATCCAAATGCTTGCAGAACCACAGGAATGCTGACGCTTTTCTCGCAAATCATGTGCGATGTTTCCATTCCGGTGGTTGCCTACCGCAAGGGCCATGGGCTGGAGGTGCGTAAGTTTCAGCTGTTCCGTCTGTTCCCCGTGCTGCTGACCATCATAATCATGTGGGGCCTTTGCGGCATTCTCACGGCCACAGACGTCTTTCCACCGTCGCATCCCTCGCGCACAGATGTGCGGCTGAATGTGCTGACGAGTGCCAAGTGGTTCTATGTGCCGTATCCGGGCCAGTTCGGATGGCCCTCGGTCACGTTGTCCGGCGTCCTTGGCATGCTGGCCGGCGTGCTGGCTTGCACGGTGGAATCGCTGAGCTACTATCCCACAGTTTCCCAAATGGCCGGCGCCCAATCCCCACCGCTGCACGCCATTAACCGAGGCATCGGCACCGAGGGTCTGGGCACAGTTCTGGCCGGCCTCTGGGGCGCTGGCAATGGCACAAACACCTTCGGCGAGAATGTGGGCGCCATTGGCGTGACCAAGGTGAGCAGCAAGCCAGCCAGACTTGGCATTCAGTGGAAGCGTGATTCAAGCCTTCCTCTCCATTTCTTTTCAGATAGGTTCGCGGCGCGTCATTCAGTGGGCTGCTTTCATAATGGTGCTGCAGGGCATCATAGGCAAATTTGGCGCCATATTCATCCTAATTCCCGACTCGGTGGTGGGAGGAATATTTTGTGTCATGTTTGGCATGATCATCGCCTTCGGTCTGTCCACACTGCAGTATGTGGACCTGCGCTCCGCGAGAAACCTCTACATTCTCGGTCTATCGATATTCTTCCCCATGGTCTTGTGTCCCTGGATGCAGCAGCATCCGGGCGCCATCAATACGGGCAATGAGACCGTCGACTCCACCCTCTCCGTGCTGCTGGGAACCACTATTTTGGTGGGTGGCTTACTGGGCTGCTTTCTGGACAATATAATTCCAGGTAAGCTGAGTCGATTTTCACCAGAACTGGATGACAATGGGCGCCATTTTCCCCAGGCACACCAGCTGAGCGCGGACTCATTGACTGGGCCAATGAGATGCCTCTGGGAGACGACAACATCAACGATGGCACTGCCACGGATTACGACTTCCCCTACGGCATGGACACCATACGGAAATGGAAGTGGACCTACTACATACCTTTCATGCCCACCTACAAGCTCAAGAAGCAGAACTAAGAGATATTTCCCTCACCAGTGGCGCAAATACTTAAAGCAGATCGGATAGATTAAAGAATAATATGTTTTACGTTAACGATTGTATTCATACGTGATGTTTATTGGTTTCTGTTTAAAATGTTTGCATTCGCTCTCATGCATTATTACATTATCGTACGTTCAATTTTCTAAGCACTATCTTTTCTTTTTTTTTAATTTTAAATTCGCTTTTTGTTCTCGCTACACTCGAATCTTTTGCTCTCGTTAATTCTACACGTATCTTCTATTATTTCGCAATAACATCAATAGTTCTAGTTAACGAAAGATGGCACCAATATAACATCAATACCATCGCAAGCTATCAATTTCTCAAATCATCATTCAGTACTGTTTTGCAAAAAATT